GCCTGGCCCTGGCCCCGACCTGGCGGCCTAGCACAGGCGCCGACCTGGCGACCTACGAGACGTGCATATCCAAACACTCCCACGATCCTTGGAAGTTGGCCCACGTGCTGAACGATCTAGAGGGTAGTCAACGTGCATGGCGGTTACCTCAGGGAATGTCGGACCACTTAGACGACTTCTCAGAAATCTCGGATACGGTGCGCGAAGCTCACGCCAAACAATGCCTATATAAAGGCACCAACCCCAATGGCATAGGGGGGGCAAGTAAACATATTCTAGCTCTCATACTTTGTGATTTTTAGCTCACAGTCTGCTATGAGAGTACTGATTTAAGCATCAGAGCGACCTTGCCGGGTTAGCCACCCCGGGTCCTCTGATATTGATTCTTTGCAGGTCTCTAAAGAACTACGAAGCTCAACAATCAATCCAGCTTGCCACTAGGCAGCTCGACACTCTGGTTAGCTCGTCACCTAACGTTCCTAGCTCAGCCTAGTCAGCTCGTCACTAACCTGCCGAGTTCGGCCCAGTTAACTCGGCACCTAATCTGCCCCCAACTCGGCCTGGTCAACTCGGCATATAGGTCCTCATCCAACAAAAGTTCACTTCGGCCTCTGAGTCATCGGCCACTTGGAAGCAGACCAAATGACGAGGTACTTAGCACAAAAATGACGAGGTAGTTAGCTTTTCTGATTTTTCTTTCTTTCTCAAATGCTTCCATTCAATTTTTCAAAATTTGTACTTATGGTGGTTCTTTGTCCAAATTCAGGAATCATTATCCATTATCTTGTTTAGGGAGCATTCTATAGAAACTTTAGGACCAAAGTCCATGTTAATTAAGAGTTAAGACAGATATCTACCACAAAACAAGAAATAGGAAAGGTAAGTTCTCTTGATGATAAATGATGAATATCCCAAACGTAGTAAAAAGTATGTATTTTATGATTTAGAAAACAACTCAACTACTATGATATCTTAATCACATGACTACTACACTCCACCTAGGTAGAGTCTGAGGTGTTAACTTAAGAGAAAATTAAAACTACAAGTAGAATTTTAACAGGTTGATGGGTAGAGCTCAAAAAGGAAAACTTGTCATCGATGGCTCTCCATCAGGTTCCATCACACACACACACATGGTTGATCAACATCAAATGGGTTTTCTGCTCAACAAATTGATACCTAATTGTTAAGACTTTTGAGATAACTTATGGATTAGAGAGAGAAGGAGAGAGAGTTTGTTGTTATCATGTGATTCCCCATCAAGTCCACAGCATTGCATGCGTCTTCATCCTTTTTCTTGTCAACATTGCAGCAACAACACCACTAATTATAAAAAGCCAAGCTGGTACCTTGCCCAAGAAATCTGTGTTGATTTACAGTAGACCCAAGAGAAACATATCAAGCAACTATCGACATCATCCACATTTTGGTGGCAATTCTTGGCCTGACCTGCCATAACCCAGTCTCCCCCTTTTGTTTATTTTCTTGAGCCCCGGGTTCTTTGTATCTTAATCTCTCTGCTAGACAACTTTTTTGGCTCTGGGTTTTCTGTTCTTAGAGAGAGAGAGAGATAGTAAAAGAAACAAATTAATATACCAGTATACCAGTGTGAAGCTGAACTCAGATCTCAGCAACATTTCATCCTAACTAAAGCAGTAGAATTGACAGAATGTATTTGGTTTTGATTTTAATTTTCCTTTGTGTCGCATATGCAGGTAAAAGGACATACTGTATATAATGTATGCACCATACTGTACACATGCAGCTTGCTCTCCGAACAATGAGAGATCCAGCACTGTGTCTACATATGTGCTGTATATGTTTGGATAAATTTGGAGGCTTGTGGTCTCGATATACAGAGTTTCGACATTTACTCTCGCTGAAGATCACGGGAAGGCATTTCATCATGATTTCATCTCTCAGATTATCCACCATGAATATATAACCTGGCTGGCTGTGTTTTCGAACTGTATTGGCATTGATCTCTGTACTCTCGAAGCTCGGGTTTGTAATCTTGCATGTGGGGTCCATTTAATCGTCTGTACTCTTCCTAGCTGATTTGGGTTTGATCACACTGTGTTACGTTGCTTGGTTGAATTGAAAGAGGTGAAAATTTGGACCAATCAAACCCAAATTCCTTCTTTCTACCTACGTATACTTTTACACTTGAATGAATACTGTGGCAGTATATGGTATTCAACAGATTGCTCCTCGGTCCGGACCCGAATGACTAATTGAATCTGTTGGATGGTAGAAATATAGTTGCCTGATAAGGAGACAGCAAGCGAACACCGTCGGCTGCTTGGTTTGCTTGTTTTGGTGATCGAATGGTTGGCCAACTCTTTAATTTTCTGTCTCTAGTCGAGTCTCAACTGCTCTAACAATCAGAAAGGATACTTTCCTTTCTTTATTCTTTTGTCTGTTTAAATAAGGTGACAGACGGAGAGCAGAGATTGGAGACTGGTTTGAACTTTATTTGAAAAATTTGTATGTATGCATATGTGTAGTGTGTACGTTACTGCTACATATACAGTAACTGATCTTGAGACAAAAACAGTAAGGATCCGTTTGGTTAATAAGAATAGGGGTCTTGAATCCGAATTGGAATGGGTCATCCCGATTCCAACTGTTAGATTGGACAATATTGGAATGAGGAATGACATTCCCCCATTTGAAAGAAGGGTCATTCCCTCATCCCTCCCCTTCTCTTGAAAATGAAATCCCGTTCCAAGTAATTCTAATTTCGATTCCAAGTGTGAACCAAATGGTCCCTAAATATTCTATTTAAGACCTGCCCAATAATCCAATAGTCCAATATCCAATACTAGAGTCGGATGGAGTCCATACCCATATAGTTAAATCAGCCCAACTAGTGTCCGGGTATGGGTATATACCTGGCAAATATGTGCATGAATGCAGAATGCATCACCCTAAACCCCCAGCTTGCTATGAATTATTTATTTGGGTGATTGTGCCCAAAAACCTCTTTTGGGGCAAATATCTTGAGACAGACGACCCGACCCGACCCGACCATATTGATCTCTTACTTTTCTTTTTTCTAAAAGACCCGGTTTGCTCTGCCGCCTCAAATACAATGTTATGTTTGGGTTTAGAGCATTTGTGAAAACGATGCCATTTTTTTTTTTTTAAAAAAAAAGTGATCGTTTTATTAAGCTACACTACACTTTATAAATAGGAAAAAAAATTGTGATCGGAGTGTTCTCTCATTTTTTATACCAATGAAACACCAACATGAGTTCCAAACATTACCTTAATTTGATCTGCATTGCCTAACTTCATTAACCTACTTTGTTATCGAGAGGTCAATCTGGACACAGGAGACGACGGCCCACATTAATTGACCTGCTGTGAGGTCCACAGTTGATTCAATTAGGGCCGTCCGGAATGCATAGTATCAAGTATCGACGCTTTAATGTCCCACACTGAATCAAGTGTAGATTGAAGAAGATCGGGGCCATCAGTGAACCTGAGAATTCTTGTTTTAGTCGTCGGCATTATCTATGCTTTGGCGACAGAAATTCAGAACGTTTGGATGCTGGCTACCGTCTGAAACCTGTCACGTGTCATGACACTGTAAAACCAAGATGGGCTTTTCATGATGAAGATGAAAAAGTAAAGGGTGGATTGGGAAATATCACGTGTAAACAAGGGTGCATAGATGATTTCCTTTCTTTTCTTTTTTCTCTTTTCCTTTTCTTCCACCGCAATGGATGGATGGAGATTAGAAACGCAGAAAGTAGTTTGATGACGCAGATGGAGAGGGATGACCAAAGTCTCCTTTTGAAAATGACAAAAAAGCCAGACATTTCACCAAAATTCTTCCTGAATCCTGCCTACTTTGTCCTAAATGGTACATTGCTACAACTTACAAGCAAGTGAAAATTAATAATATCAGCGTAGACCATGTATGCCATATAGCATGGCCTAGAGGAATCCTAAGCCTAGCGGAATGATACATCTCTTTGAAGGCACTGAAATTATCAGGACAACCTCCTCTTTTTGTAAAAGGACCTAAACGTCCTCACACACACATATATATAATCCTACTGACATAGCTGGAGCCTAGATCTAGCTAAATATGTATTATCGTATAACAGGAGCTTGGTAAATGGAGTCGAAGGACTATCAATAAATCATTCTACGGCCCATCATTGAACGTTTGAATGTAGGGCCCATAATCATTATAGGGTCCAATGATGCAGTTCATCATGAATGGAAATTGGAAAATGAGCTTGTTAAGCGTCTTTTTGCTCAGATAGAGAAGAAAGTCTTACGCCAATTCAGACTACAGAGACGTCCAAAAGCCCAAATATAGTGCATGAATTGGATCGGATTTCAGAAATCCCACTGAACGAAAACACACAAAGAAAATGGATAATAAAAGTCATACGATACGATACGATTGGGCTTGAAATTCTAGCGTAGGCCACACTCTGGTAGGTGGGGCATACCGTGCAGAAGGGTAATTTTGTCATTTAAATTTTAATGCTTGCCTTCCTTGTGGTAAATACTGAAGGGAAGGGCATTTCTGGTAATCAGCTTCGAACTTTAATTAAAAGAGAAGAGAAGAGGTACAAAGTGAATAAATCCAACCTAGGTTTACCTATAAACAACTTACCTGTACAAGCTTATGCTTCGCCGTCGAATCGTTTCACGTCCAATTCCCATTGTCAAGGTAGTGGGCCCTTGCCCAATCAAACAGGGCCAGTGTCCAATCAGGGATGAGGGATCCTTTTTCCCGAAGAATGTTGACTTGATCAAAAGGCCCACCGATCACGTTGGGCGTACCGGCCCACAGCGGGTGGCGTTTGTGTAATCTCTGTATGACTGGGTTAGACCGGGCTGACCGGCCCAGCAGATTCATCCCAAAACCCAAAGCCAAGAAATAAAACAAATAAAGAATTACGAAAGGCCCCACCACCCGGTTTGGCTTTGCCCTTCATGGTTAATTCCTCTCCCTCCTCCTCCCTTGGATCTCTCCCCCAATAAAAAGCTCTCCCTCAAGTCTCAATTCCTCAGGTCTCATACTCTCTCCTCACCTTCTCTTCTCTTCTCTCTCAAATCTCTTGAGAGAACCAGATAAGTTATGAAAGAGAGAGTCCGTTCTGCAACTCTTCTCTTCTATTTGCTTGCTCTGCTCTTCATGGCTGTCTCTACTTTCTTTCAGACAACCTCGACAGAAAAGCAGCAGCATTCCAAACGCAAGAGGAAACAGCAGAAACAACCCTCTTCATGGGATCAAATTAAGAGCTTACTCACATGTAAACAAATTGAAGGGTCGCAAGTTCACGACCCGTCGAAGAATGTTGGTGGGTACTCTAAGTTGGGAGCTTCCTGCAGTTCTATCTGTAGTTTCAAAGACGTTGTTCATGGCAACACGAGAGTGGTGCACCGGGCTGATAACTCGCCGGAGAGTAGCAGTGTGTGCCAAGAAACTGCACTGCTTAGTCGGAAATCGGTGGCTAGATCATCCAATCGGCCATCCTCGGGTTCGACGAGGCCGAGCGGCGGTGGAGCTTATTCGTCCTCGTCGAGAGGAATGCAATTACGAAAGCTCTCTGGGTGTTATGAGTGTCACATGATCGTTGATCCTGCTAGGTATTGTTGGACATCTTTTTCTTCCATTTATTCTTCATATCTGAATTTAATTAGCAGGCATGGAAATGCTGAAAATTAAAGTCTGTGCAGGTTTCCATCTCCGAGAACTACTATATGTGCTTGCCCCGACTGTGGGGAAGTCTTCCCCAAGACCGAAAACTTGGAGCTTCATCAAGCGATCAGGCATGCCGGTAAATGCGATCTTATCCCTTTATTTTTTGACCACCATCGACATATTTTCTTTTCTGGGTTTCTCATTCCTATCTAGAACTTCGTTTTTTTTCCTTCCTTTGCACTAGATTTGAGATGTTCGGAGTTTCAGACGAAAAATAAATAGATAAAACTGAGGCAATTTCTGTTTCCTTTATTTTTCCAAGGATCCTTAAACAAATCTTCCTTTTCTTCTAGTTCTGCGATTTGATGATAACAAACTTTAGTTCACCAATTACTGATTTGTCTTACCCGGAAAAGACGCCGACGCCTATTTGTCATAGACCTTGACTTATTTTTATAAGCAATAAACCTCAGTTAATGAAGGGTACTTCACTTGCGTCGTTTTCAGAGTTAAAGAGAAAAGAGAAAGATGATTATAAAAAGGCAAAAAATTTTATGAAATCCTTGTATTTTTTTTTTCTGTAATATAATTAATAAAATTTCTTATTAACGATTGGTACAGTAACGGAGCTGGGCCCTGAAGATTCAGGCCGGAACATCGTGGAGATAATCTTCAAATCGAGCTGGCTCAAGAAAGATAATCCACTCTGCAAGATCGAACGGATATTAAAGGTCCACAACACACAAAGAACCATCCAGCGGTTCGAGGACTGCCGTGACGCAGTGAAGGCGCGGGTGAGCAACAACACGAAGAAGAACCCGAGGTGCGCGGCCGACGGGAACGAGCTGCTGAGGTTCCACTGCACCACCTTAAGTTGCGCGCTGGGAGCACGCGGCACCACCAGCCTATGCGGCTCCATACCGGGCTGCGGTGTCTGCACGATCATTCGGCACGGATTCCCGGGGAAAGTGCAGGAGGGGAAGGGGGTGCGCACCACTGCCAGCAGCGGCAGGGCCCACGACAGCCTGGGCAGCGTCGAAGGGCGGAGGGCGATGCTGGTGTGTCGAGTGATCGCGGGCAGGGTGAAGCGTGTAGCGGATGATGTGGCGACGGAGGAGGAGGGCGTGTACGATTCGGTTGCTGGATACGCAGGAGTGTATACGAATCTCGAGGAGCTGATCGTTTTCAATCCAAGGGCCATCCTGCCTTGTTTCGTGGTGATATACAAAGCCCTTGACTGATTGATTAATAGTGTATGATGGATGGATTAATTAAGTAGTAATTAGCGGGTGGGTTAGCCGACCTAACTCTTGTTTGTACATATAGATTTTTCTATACATTCTGACGTCGTAACAAAAGTTTCCTCATTTTGTGATTTGTGACGAGAGGTCGATGGCCTACCTTATGGCCTATGATCTCTATCACTCTATGGTAGTTTTATTTTTTTATTAGTCCTTAGTCCTTATTCCAGTGCTTCACCTTCAACTGTTCCGGCTTCAGAACTCATATAAGCGTGTCAGCTGTTAATAAATGAATTAAATAATGATAATTATGAGGGACCCACAGTATATTACTGAATGTAAGTCAAGATATGGTGTTTTGTGAAATAAATTATTGAAAAATGCGGTCATGGCCCTACATTCACTTTGTTTTATATATACGTTTTGTCTGCTAATTCTCCAACATATATTTATATGATCTCTCTCTCTCTCTCTCTCTCTCAATGACAAGATAGATACACTGATGTCTTTTCTGAATTTTTAGGACCATCTGTGTTATATATCTTGTTTAGTAAGGGATGTAATCGGGGAAAGGAAATGGGTCAATTGGAATTGGGTTGGGTCTAAGATTGGGCCCAAATTCGAACACCTAAGTAAGCAGAGCCTTTTCTTTTAGTAAAATTAAAGCTGAACCCTGTTAAAAGGCTAGTTTGTAAGGTCTCCGCATTGGAGAAAGTTTAGTTTGTGCAGAAGAGAGAAGAGTTCATCCATGAACTCAAGGCGGGGAGGTAAGGTTATGAGGATGAATGAATTCATGGGCCCATCCCATGGACAAGTGGACATCAGTCTCAAGATATCTCTTCCACTACTCTCTCTCTACCCTTTCTAGTGTCATGTGAGCATAGAGCAAATGAAGGAGAATTATTAGGGAGGGCACGTGCTGACCTTGAAAAGGTTGCAATTATAAAGTTAGTATTGTTTTAACCTACACTGAACAAGACTCCATTTCCCTGTAACAAGAAACGAGGTTTGGATATGATAATTGCTCACACATGCCGTAGGTCTGTGTACTTGGTTGTTTCTCTTTGTTCCTAGTCTTTGGATCGACTTAGTACAGCTACAGCCTCATATAATTAAAATATTCTAGTTTAATATACTAATAACAGAGTAACTCAAGTGGAAGAAGCAGTCTTCTGAGTTATGAAACTTGATTTTATATATAAAGCCTAGTTAGTTGGGTTATAATTAACATATAAAATACATATATGTTTATGGATCAACTCTGAAACCAGAACCAATCCGATGAGGTCCATGAGAAACTTCCTCCTCTTGTCTGCTAACCAGTACTCTACATTTCAGCAGTGCTCTATCTGGGATTCGCATTTGGTAAATAACATGCGTACTTAAAAGTTAAGCAGCACGCCTCGACAGCTTGGTGTGGTCAGTTGGGCTGGTCTAGCTCTGCTGTTCATCCACCCATGTGGCTCAGCAGCTGCTGAAGCAGATAGATAATGCCAATGTAACAGTTGGAAGTATCATCATTAAAATATATAGAGATGGGTGTGTTTGGCTGTAGTCCGATCAGAGGCAAGACTGCCATTAAGAGCTATGCAATACATACACAGGGAGGTAGATCAGCAGGCATGAGAAAATGCTCTCGTCCTTTGAAAACTCAAGCTCCTCTCCCTGATAACCATAGCAGCTAGCAGTTAGGTATAAGACAAATTTGCACTCTACTAAATCTTAATAGCCCAGCATGCTTCAATCCACATTCTGCATGTGTCTGTGAAATCAGATATCTGTTCTTTTTGAGGTATGATTCAATTTAAGAGGAAGAGGAGGTGCTGGCCCATTAAGAGATGAGATGAGAGCAAAACGAATCACAGTATTAGTCTCCATTCAGGGATGGTCACGGGTTTCAAATTCACGGGCAGGAATATATGGTTGATGGACGCTACTGGCCTACTGTCTGTCCGGCTTGCCTCCTCTAATTGCCAATTCCAGCAGCCATTTTGATTGCCCTGGTACCTACCTACAGGGACCCATCCAAGGAAATTTCATGGGCCAATCGCAATCTGGTTTAATGAACTGTTTAATCCAATTGGACCATGTTTTTCATGGTTTCGAAAGAGAAAATTGAATTAGCTACAAGTGCTGCAGCCTGCAAATTTAGATAGAAATGGGTATATATGACTAGGATTTATAGTATATGCCATTTAGCATCTTATTTGTATGCTTGTATTCGTGCAGGAATGAGGAATCTTTGGTTCAATCATTTAATGAAACTGAAGCATTTTCACTGGTGACAATCACTCGAAAGAAACTGTACTTCTCAAACATCGCACTCATCTGTTGATCCTTAGTTGTCAAAGATTGAAAGCTTGCACTGGGTGGTGGTTAAACTCCCTAAGCAATACAGATTATGTGTCTGTATTGCTCAGGGAGGATGGTTCCGTTTCCTGACTTTTGTTCTGATACAAATATGTGTCCCCTCCGAGTTTGTGTTTATCTCCCCCGATGATTGAAAGCAGGTTGGATAGAGGTTTCAGATGTGTAGGAATAGCGACCCATCACTGTTTCAGCCTGTGAGGATGAAATTGATTGCTCGGATGTACTATTTATGGATGACTGTTCTTTGCCAAATTTCAAAACTGTTGTTATTTATTTGGCCGAGCATATTATGTGTTCCAGTCCAGGAAGGGTCCTCTTGTTCAGTTGGTTCATCACTTTTAAGGAATGAATCATGATCGCCAAATAATCTTCCAAAAGCATTGCCCTATATTCTTTTAGTCCTTCATTGGAAGGTCACAGCCGAGTCAGAATTCTTTTTCCTAAATCCTAATCCACGTGGGTTGGAATTTGATGCACCTTACGTACAGAAATGCTAGCTTATTGTGTTCTTTTCTACAACTGGTCTCCTGAGTCATATTTGGCTACTGCTCTCTCTCTCTCTCTCTCTCTCTCTCTCTCCTTTATTTCATCTCCACATTAATCCAAATTAAAGGTGAATATATATTAATTCATGAATGGTTGAGATGAACAGGTTCGTGCTCATCTTTGGCCAAATCTAAGTCCACTCATAACACTAAATTAATTCCAAATTTATTTGCACTGATGCAAAATGATGGTAGTGTAAATGATTTTGGTGCAAATTATGTCTTATTTTTATTTTAAAATTTATCTTATTTTGTTTGATTGCGGTATAAATGAAAGCAAAATAAAACCTGAAGCAGAATAAAGTAAACCCCAAAACACAATTAATCCAGAATTTTCATTTGCACTCCCATGCATTTGTATGAGTGCAAATAAAATTGCATTGCAATCAAAGGGTCAATTTGGCTCAGGGAAATGAGGGTGTGAAATCGGAGTAGTCCAACTGTTTGATTGGGCGGAATTGGAATTCCATTCCCATTCTTGGTGGAATGGCATTCCTTGGTTTGATGGCCATTTCCTCCCTCTTTCTTGGGGATGAGAATCCAGTCGAGCTGATTCCAATTCCCATCTAAACCAAACAAATAAGAGGAATAGACCATTCGGATTCCAATTCCAATTTCAATTCCGACTAAGAAGCAAACAATATATGTATATATATATATATATATATATATTAAAATGAAGCGGTCAAGAAATTTTTTCCTTTTTTTAAATTTTTTTATTTTTTTATTCCATGTCATTTTTGAAACAATCAATGAGATGCACTTTCCCAATAACCTAAATAATCACTTCTTCTAAAATTTCTCCTAAACTACCTCCCCCACTATCCCCCACTTTCTTCAAAATTATCACTAATTCCTATTTATCTAAAAAATTATCTCTAATTCAGTAGAGAGTTTCTATCCTAAATTATATCTAATTCCTATTTATCCTCTCCCCAACTTTTTATCTATATCTATCTAAAGAAAGTTTGGATTAAAAAATTTAAGGATTATTTAAATATTCTAACAAAATTATATAATAGCTTTAAAATATTTATTAAAAACACAATTTTTTTTTTCAAAATATATCACGATATTATATACTAACAATTTAAATTCTGTTTTTCCGGATTATCAATTTAAATATTATTCAAATAATAAAAACTTAACATTAAAAAATAAAATCTTATTTAAATATTTCAATAAATAAATATCATAAATAAAAAATATTATAAATATATAAATAACTATATAAAAAAAAATTAGTAATATGTAATAGCTTTAAATAAATGAAATTAAAGTAACAAAAAAATTTAAATATTTTACTTATTATTTAAATATTTAAATGAATATTTAACATAACCAGATTTTAAATAGTTAAAATAACTAAAATACGTAATAAATTTAAAAAAATTCATAAAAGTAGAAAAATAATTATAACATAATATTAAAATTAAGAATAATTTAATATATTGCAAAATGAACAATGAAAATATGTATTAATAGTATAAATTATAATTTAATGGATTGTTAAATTCAGTAAATAACATAAAAACTTTAAATATTTTACATATTATTTAAATATTAAAGCAACTAAATATTTAATGTAACTAGATTTTAAATAGTTAAAATAACGAAATTATGTAATAAATTAAAAAAAATTCTTAAAAGTAGAAAAATAATTATAGCATAATATTCAAATTAATAATATACAATATCTTACAAAATTAATAATAAAATCATGTAATAATAGTATAAATTATAATTTTATGGATTATTAAATTCAATAAATAATTAATATTTTAAAATTTAAATATTTTACATATTGTTTAAGTAGTTAAGTAACTAAATATTTTAAATAAAAAAAATATTTAACATAACTAGATTTTAAATTAGTTAAATAAATAAGTTGTGTAATAAATTTAAAAAAATATGAAAAGTAGAAAAATAATTATAACATAATATTGAAATTAATAATAATTTAATATTTTACAAAATTAATAATTAAATAACTTTAACAATAATTTAATATTTTTACATAATATTGTAAATAACTAATTTCACTTATATCAATTAATAATTCGAGAAAATAACATTCATAAAAGTTAATATTTATTAATAATAATTTTAAACTCTTAATATATATTTATTATATAATTATATATTCTAATATTAATATTTATCGTATTTTAGTAATTATTTATTATTTTTTGTAATAACTTTATTTTCAATATGATTATTTATAAATGTATTTATTTTTTGTTATTTATCAAAAAACTTTCAATAATTATTGGAGATTAAACTACTATTATTGAAATTTTTAAATTTTGTTTATTGTAGTTATTGTAGTTATTGTATTTTTATATAACTTATTGATGAATGTTTATTAGAGATTATACTATTATTTGAGATTATAGTATTTATTAAATAATTTAATATATTTTTAGTACTTATTGTATTTTTGCAATTATTGTATGTTTTTTCATTATCAATATATTTTCAATAATTGTGCATTTTCGCTATAAATTTTCAACAATTATTGGAGATTAAAATATTGTTACTTATCAAAGATGAGACTATTAATTTATCTGAAATTATGAGTGTTCATGAGTTGGTTCGGTTTGGTTGTAGGTTGTTTTGCCAACCAAATTGACTTGGTCAGTTGAAACTGACTATTTGTGAAAACCGACTCACTTAAGTTGTATCAGTTTGGATTGATTTTTTGGTTTGGTCAATTGGTTCAAAAGAAATTTAAAAATTAAATTTATGATATAAAACATTTTAGACTAAGAAATATGAGAAATTTCTCACTTTTTCATATTAAAAATTATATTTAAAATATAAAATGTTAATATATATCAATGGTCAAGTCATCTGATTTTGGTCGATTTACAAATGGACAAAGCGAAACTGATCCAATATGGTTAGGTCAAGTTGATCAGGTCGGTCGGTTTTATCAATTTAACGAATAAACCTAGCTGAAATTAATTATTGTTATTTTTGTATTATAAAAAAATTATTAAAAGTAGTATATAAAATATGAATAATTATTAATTATTTGAAGATTTGAAAATATAAAATAGTTGTATATTCTTATGTGTTTCTATTAGGGTCATTTAGTAGAACACACCTTAGAGTTTTATATATTTCTTTAAACCTACCTTATAGTTTTCATTTTAATAAAATATCTCATATATTTTACAGCTTATTTACTTAATCAACCATTCATTAAGGAGTGTTTTTTTTGCCATTAGGGCCATGATTTTTTCATTCCAAAAATACCCTGATCGTTTTTTTTTGTATAGAAAACAAAATTGACCAAATATAGCCAATAGAGTGGTTGTTCGTGTCTATTAGAGGCAAAAATGGTATTTTTATTTTTATTTTCTTTTGATAAAATTTATTTAAATGAACATTAGGGTCGACACTGTCATTTTTCACTATCATCTAATGGAAAATTGATTAAATCCATAGTAAATTATAAAGGGTATTTTAGTAAAATACAAACTATAGGGTAAATTTTAGTAAATCCATGAAACTATAAGAAGTGTTTTAGTAAATGACCATTTCTATTATTTAGATTTCCCTTAACAAATCCCGTGCATGACACAGGTCCCACTAGTACTCTAATAATATACGGTTGATCAGGACACCTTGTTACTATATTGAAAGTAAATACGATCAAAAGACTACATATGAGTGAACAAGTGAAATACATCGAGTGGGTGGGATGCATATCCATGTCCTACGACCTTGATGCTTGACAAATCAGAAGCCAGAAGGAGATCATAATTAATAACTATCCTACTTCCTCCTCCGAGAATTATACATGTTACACAAATAACGCCTTCAACGTAGTGAACAAGTCATACTTGTACCCTGTGGTGTGGAAATGCTGACGTGGAATGATCCTAGTGTACAAATAGAATGCCACGCAGGCAATAGCAGGGCCCGCCCAAAAGACCCAGTGCCCATTCCAAAGATGTCCTCCTCTAACAAGTGCTGGTCCAATGCATCTTGCTGGGTTCATCCCCACACCGGAATAACCCTTCTTTGTCGTCAATGTGGTTGAGACAAACACCAAGAGCCCCACCACGGCGCCGATTATTGAGCACACAGTAACGGGCCCTAGGGCTTTAGCTTGACGATGATCGAAGGCAATCCATATGGAAGCGAAGAGGAACACAAATGTACATATGATCTCCAGCCAAAGTGCTTGACTCGTCTCTAGACCCATGGTAATGGGTCCATTAGGGCCCTCTGCGATGATGACGTTTAAGGTGCAACCCCCAAGTGAGAAAGTATGTTGTATTGTGCCACTAACAACTGCCTTAAGTGCAAGTGCGCCTAGCACACCACCGACGCATTGAGCTAGAATGTAAACGGCGGCACGAGAAAGGGAGATGAGACCGATGAGTGCAGCGGAGAAGGTGATAACCGGGTTGATGTGGCCACCGGAAATAGGGGAAGTGGCAAGCAGCAGAACTGTGACGGAGAGGAATACGAAGAAGGACATTACTAGGTTGGGTGTTTTGGTGTCGGTTTCATAGGAGGAAATGACTAAGGTGTCCAGTGCAAAAACGAGGATGGCGGTGCCAAGGAGCTCCGCCACAGATGCTTGCCAGACCTGTAATTAATTAGCCACTTGATATTAATAAATTGACTTGAGAGACAAGCTAAAATCATTAATCCAACTACAGTCCGGCCCCTTCACTAATATTTGTTGTAATTTCAATCAATTATGTTAAAGTTGTCACATGGTTTATTTAATTTTCAATCATTCACAAACCATATTTATCATCGGTGAAGATTTTAATGGCATTAAAAATGTTAGCTGTGATGTATTATATATCTATGGTGAGATTGTGATGTATTATATATCTATGGTGAGATCGGTTTCAGTGCTCATAAGACTGTGTTTACACTATTCTTATAGCTTTTTACAGCCGTGCATTGAGAATATCTCCCCAAGATTAAAAGGATTGTGCAAATTTTTACAGCCGTGCATTGAGAATATTTCCCCAAAATTAAAAGGATTGTGCAAATAGTATGAGCACGGTTTCGTTACCGTTTTACATTTTTTTTTGTTGCAAGGTAGGGCTGTTCATGGGTCGGGTTGAGTCAGTTTACTGAGATTTTTTCAACCGACCCGACCTGGTCGGGTTACCTGAAATTGAAACCGAAACCGACCCTGTGTTAAGCAAAACCGACCTAGTCGGTTTGAGTCGGGTTGGGTCGGTTTCGTCTCTAAGTTCAACCATGGTAATAAATTGATAGATTGGAAAAAGAAGACTGAAACTTGATGTAAAAAATGACACCTAATTCTATTAGAGAAAGAAGACTGAAATTGGTAGGGGGCGGACCAAGTTAGAATAGAAGTTATCAAGAAAATAGAAAGTCAAACTGTATTAGATAAAGAAGACTGAAATTTGTATATTTCAAGAAACCTTATAATCTAAGTAAAAAAGGACACCTAATTCTAATTGTAATTAGTTGCCTATTTGGTGT